GCCGCTGTGCTGGCAGGGTCGAGGTCTTCCATAACAAGCAGTGGGGGACCGTGTGCGATGACAACTGGGACCTGCTGGACGCCGAGGTCGTCTGCCGGCAGCTGGACTGCGGGCAAGCGCTGTCGGCCCCGTGGGGAGGTCAGTTCGGGCGTGGGAATGGCATCATCTGGATGGACGAGACGAACTGCACGGGGACGGAGAGCACGCTGTCTGCCTGCCAGGCCCGGACATGGGGCATCAATAATTGCTACCACGGGGAAGATGCTGGTGTGGTTTGCTCAGGTGACCAATGCTCCTTCGGCAGCACTCCATGCGAAGTGGTGGGAGGGGGGGGCATGTCATTATGATGGCAGGTCTGCACCCCCAGGGAAGATTTGAGGTCAGCATCAGCAGCCCGTGGGGTTCTCCTGGCCCCTCCCTGCACCTGATGGTCCCATCGGAGGGCTGCTCTTCCCACCCCAAGGTGTTTATTTAAGGTAATGAGAGGCATTCCTTCAGGGACCCCTATTTCCCACCTCTTTGGGAACCCTCCAGCTCCAACAACAGGACCAACTCATTGTGGGGAAGCTCATCGAAAGCAACCTGCCTGGCGAGCAATTCTTGCAGGGAGTGGGGCTGGGGTCCAGGAGGATGCAGGACCAACGTGGACAACCTGCAGGGAGGTGCTCTGGTGCAGGGTGCTCCTGGGGGGAGTTGTGGGTTTCACTCCTCCTGTTCTTGCTCCTCTGTGCCTTTTGGCAGCTTGAGAGGGGCTGGGAGCTTAAGTGCAGTAGGGAGCTTAAGTGCATGGAGGGAAACTGGTGACTGTCCGAAGGCATTAGTAACTCTCTCGGGTGTTTGCAGACTCAATCATCCCCGAACCACCTCACCTCCGGCTGGCGAACGGCTCGCACCGCTGCGCTGGCAGAGTCGAGGTGTTTCACCAGGAGGAGTGGGGAGCCGTCTGCGACAGCAGCTGGGACAAGCAGGACGCCGAGGTTGTGTGTCGGCAGCTGGGCTGCGGGACGGCGCTGCCAGCATCGGAGGGGACGGACTTTGGCACCGGACCCCTGCGTGTCTGGCTGGACAATGTGAACTGCCAAGGGACGGAGCTGACCCTTACGAAATGCCAGGCGAGCCCATGGGGAGAAAGCAGCTGCAGCCACGGAAAGCGCGCCAGCGTGGTGTGCTCAGGTGGGTTTCACTCCAGCACCGGCAGTGGGTCAGGATGCACCAGTAATTTCCCCCATCCCAGTTGGGAGTAAGGCGCCAGCTTCACCCCAGTTACTGCTCTGTCAAGTACCTCTAAGCCCTTTGAGAAGCGTCTCCACAGGGTGAGGATGAGATGCTGTGGGTTCAGAGGTGGCATGACCATGCATGCTATGCACCAAAATGCAGGGTCCTTCCTCTTCCCACAGAGGTGATGGATGCTCTGAGCATCTCCCTGCCTGTTTGCAGGCTCAGCTGTTTCCAACTTCACCCCAGTCCGGCTGGTGGATGGCCCAGGTCGCTGCGCTGGGAGGGTCGAGGTGTTTCACAGTGAGAAATGGGGGACGGTGTGCGATGACAGCTGGGACTTCGCAGATGCCAAAGTGGTTTGCCGGCAACTGGACTGTGGGCTGGTGGTATCAGCTCCGCAGCGGGCTCACTTCGGGCAGGGACAGGGACCCATTTGGCTGGACAACGTGCGCTGTGTGGGGACGGAGGCTGCTCTCTCCGAATGCAGGGCCAAGAGCTGGGGCATCCATGGATGTGAGCACAGAGAAGATGCCAGCGTGGTGTGCTCAGGTAACTGTCACACATCATGGCACCAGAAGCACTGTAGCAAACCGTACCATGGTCCTCCTGTACTCAGGCTTGACTCTGCTTTCCCCTACGGGTGCAAGGGCTTGTGACACAGGAACAGTTTGCAGCCAGCCTGGAGACCCTTTGCTTTGAAGTCAGCCCCTCGTGGTCCATCCTGGTGGAAGAGGGCAGCTGTATGCAGACATTAAAGTCCAGGAAAAACAAACACCTTGCCCATTTGCACAGCTATCACTAAAAATACGGCCTCTGGCATGCTTTTGACTGATGTTATTTATCACAAATCCTGGCAGTTAGCATGGGCTAGAGATGATTCCCATCAGGCAAATTGCAACATGGCCACCTACTTCTTCACAGTGGGGCAGACTGCAGTAGGAATGGGTCTTCTGCCATTAGAGCTGGCCTCATGGTCAGGGAGGACTCTGACAGCTTTGGTTAATACATAGTAGATGTACCCCATGATGCTCAGAGCTGCATGAGCCCATGACAGCCCATCTCCCATCCCTCTCTCTCCTCTCCAGCTCTGACTTTGTGCCGGAGGAATCCCACAGCCCATTGTAGTGGCTGTTAAGAAGCTGGAGCCACTGGGTTGCAACCAGGTTGCTTAATATCAGGATGGATTTTGCTTAATATCCAGGTGTCACTGACTGAGACAGCCAGTGTTGAAGTCAGTTTCCCCAGCATAGGAAGGTAGCATCTCACCCTAGCTGGGCTAAGAGATCCTACAGGAAACCTGTGCCTGTCAGGAGCAGCAGCTGGAGGGCAGGAGAGATATCCCAGGAGTCCCAAATGGCGCAAGGATGCCTATGTCTTGGCGACTGGACCCTGTCCTATGTGTCTGCTTTAGGAGGGCAAATTATATTAGGGTTCATTGAATACAGTTTGGTGAAGCCCATGCTAATCAAGCCTTGGGCACCACTCGGGCCAGTTCACACCACACCTCAAGGGTCTGCCCTCTCTGTCATCACAAGAGCATCCTTGACCCCCAAGGCTGCTCAGCCTCTGGTGTAAACCCATTGATGGCAGCCAGAGGTTTCATGGGGCAGAAGGTGCCTCCTTAACCTGTGGACGCTCTCTGATATTGTAGGATCGGGCATTTCTGACCTCGGAAGCCTCCGCCTGGTGAACGGCTCAGACTCATGCTCCGGGAGAGTTGAAGTGTTTCATGATCAGCGCTGGGGGGGCATCTGTACTGACGGCTGGGACCTGGCCGAAGCCCATGTGGTGTGTCGGCAGCTGGGCTGTGGGGTGGCGCGCTCGGCCGCTGCGTCTACCCAGTTTGGGACAGGAGATGGCCTGATCTGGGTGGATGCTGTGGAGTGCACCGGGACGGAGGGGGCCCTCTTTGAATGCAAGGTCAAGTTCTGGGGCACCAAGAGCTGCAAGTCGAGGGGGCATGCAGGCGTCTCATGCTCTCTGGCTGCAGGTCAGTGGCGGTGAGTCAGGGATCAGTCATCCCTTGGGGGAGGCCATGCAGTCTGACCAAATTCACCCATCCAACTCCTCCCTGTCCTGGCTCAACCACCCCTTGTTCCTGGAGTCCCACCAGGGAGCACAAGGTGTTTTCCGTTAGGTCTACCGGTCCCTGGCTTCCCTCAGGCAAAGTGCTTGGAAATCGCAAGCCTGGGATTCCCAGAAATCCCAAGCCTGTAAGACACAGGCTATCCATCATTGCTTTCCATCACATGCAAAAAGCCCTGGCATACCAAGGTTGCCGCTGCCCTTGTGGTTTTCTTCTGATCCATGCTACCGCACAGCCTCTGGTCTTCAGGAAGTCCCTTCTCTTCACCAAGCTATTCCTTGCTCAGGTGCACTTGATGCCTCCTCGCCTGCTTGTCCCCATGAGGATACTCACATCATGGGAGCTCCTCAGTAACTTGGCCAGGTTCACAATCTACTGGACATGGTCCTAGCAGGCTTGTCCCAAAAGGTCTTCATGCAACGCACACCCAGGGTGCAGCAGTAGCAGAAATACTACATGTTGCAAGACATGTTGCCAAGGGGAGATCTACCGCGTTGACAGCCACTGGACAGGCTGACCTAATTCCTGACCAGGATTTATTGTCCTCCAATTCTGTTTTTAGACTTGGACCGGGGGAGCTCAGAAGCCCTGCGGCTGGTGAACGGCCCACACCGCTGTGCCGGCAGGGTGGAGGTCTTTCACAACCAGCAGTGGGGGACCGTCTGCGATGACGGCTGGGACCTGAATGACGCAGCCGTGGTGTGCCGGCTGTTGGGCTGCGGGACGGCCATATCAGCCCCAGGTTTATCTGGGTTTGGGCAAGGATCTGGCCCCATCTGGCTAGATGGGGTGAGTTGCCTTGGGACAGAAGCCACCCTTGCTGAATGCCTGGTCAAGCCTTGGGGACACCATACATGTAACCACGTGGAAGACGCCAGCGTTGTGTGCTCAGGTAATCCTCACGACATGTTTTCACTGTAAGATGGACCAAGCCCTATCCTTCTGCAGGCTGGGAACTGTTTGGGAACAAACTGCCCAAGAAATTGCTCAGGTTGGTAGAAACTGCGTTAAAATAACGGTGTTCAAAGACAAGGAAAAACATGATATGCTGGGAAAAAAGCAGCATGGCTTAAGCGTGCCTCAGTGTCTGGTACCACTGGAGGTGTCCAAGATGATTTCATGGGGCAAAGCACCTGGAACCTGTGGGAGCGGTAGCTGGAGGGTGCATGGGTACTGCTCAAGTGGCAGCAGATGTGACTGTGCCCTGCCCCAGCTGAAAAGCAGGCAGAGCGACTTGCGCTGCAGGCACTGGAACATGCCAGGATGTGCAGATAAATGCAGAAAGGTGCAGTGGAACCAGCTGCTCTCATGTGATACACCACTTTTGAGCTAGGTGCTACCAGTCTAGCCTTGGCCTTAGAAGGTCAACGTCCACAGGCAAGTCAATGTGGCAGTCAGGAGCAGTCAGGACAGGGACAACCAGGAAAAGATCCTTTGCCATTTCCTCTAGGGCAAAAACTGAGTAAAGCCAGGTGAACCTAGGTGATGCACCTTCCAAGCAAGCAGGAAGGAAAGCACAGAGAAATACTGTGAAGGACACTTGTGCATCTTGTCTTCCCATCATGGTATCCCTCAGGTGGAGAAAAGTGCACTTTCTCCTGTCCCAACCTCTGAACCACAGTGCATCCACCCTCAGGGTGCAACTGGTGGAAGGCATCTTCCACAGCTCCTTCCACCCTGCAAAAACCCCTGTGCTCACTTTGCTGCAAGACCCTGATAAAGAGCAAAGGATATAGAAACTCACTGCAGCAATGCCATCCAGAACTGCCGCGGGGATGTCCTGCGTTGTCCAACGCAGCTGCTGTTAAGATGCACAAGCATATCTCTAATAATGCCCATTTTGGGGTATTTTTCAGGCTCAGGGATTGCCAGCATCCCCAGGCTTCGCCTGGTGAGTGGTTTGAGCAAGTGCACCGGGAGGGTCGAGGTGTTTTACAACAACGAGTGGGGGACAGTCTGCGACGACGGCTGGGACCTGAGGGACGCAGCGGTGGTCTGCCGGCAGCTGGGCTGCGGAGTGGCCATCTCGGCCCCTGGCTCGGCTCGGTTTGGGTGGGGAGCTGGCCCCATCTGGCTGGACGACGTGAGCTGCACGGGGCAGGAAACTGACTTTTCCAAGTGCCAAGCCAAGATGTGGGGCATCCACAACTGCCACCACGGGGAGGACGCCGGCGTGGTGTGCGCAGGTGAGAGTCAGGAAGGGGCTGGCCAGAGGCAGAGATTCTGCTGGTAGCCAGGGGCAGGCAGCTGGTGCCCTTTGGAGGAGATACTGTGTGCAGGGCTGGTGTAGGGGCTTCCTGCAGTTCTCACCCATGTGTATCTCCTGGACCTTCACCTCAAGGCCAAAAGCAAGGTCCTGCACCTGGGTCAGGGCAACCCCCGGTATCAGCACAGGCTGGGGGATGAAGGGATGGAAAGCAGCCCTGCCCAGAAGGACTTGTGGGTACTGGTAGATGAAAAGCTGGACATGAGCCGGCAACGTGCACTCGCAGCCCAGGCAGTCAACCATGTCCTGGGCTGCCCCCAAAGCCGCGTGGCCAGCAGGGTGAGGGAGGGGATTCTGGCCCTTTGCCCCGCTCTGGGG